TGCAAAGTAGTTCTTAGTAAAAGCAGGTTCAAGGACCTGCTACGTTTGTCATGTGCAGACTGAAGTTAACACAAATCTGTTCACTACAGACAATACAATCATTTTCATTTTATGAAACCAGAGATCCACCAGAGCTTTCCCTTTGATTTGGCACTCGACTGGTTCTGCTCTGATCCCGTCCTGGCACGTGTGACCTGACGGCACAAACAGCAAAGTAGATGCAGAGTGGGGTCACTGGTGTTACACCTGATGGGAGATGTTACAGGCGTGTGACAGGCGAAACAGGACAGTGCCTCCCCTTCACCCTGCCCCCACCAGCAACATCATCACTGCTCTCATATTCATGTGCCACATCTGTCTCACCAGATCTCAGGATGTGTTCACTCTGCTGTAGCTTTCTATATGAATTATAAACCAGCTTACACATACTTTAAATTAGTCCCTTTTTATCAACTGGAATCTCCAACACAAAAATGTTTTCATGGGTTATTCTGTCTGTTTTTCACTGCGGCCATTAAACGAATAAATCCCATCAGGAGCTGTGCTGCATCTTTTGTCACACTATCAATTTCAAAGTTATTCTATTACAGATGAGCCACATGCATTTAAAACAATTGATGAAGACACAACATTATGATAGTATGAATACATTTAAAGAGGGTCTAAAAGTGAAGATGCACACTGTATGTACTTTGAAAGCTTGCATATGTTATGACCTCTAGAATACATCTGGGAAATTTAGAGTACTCACACGAAGGAAACCGCTCAAGCATCTGTAACATGTGGTTGTGTTAACCTTTGCCTTTTGAGTATTGAACAGATGTAGAGAAGACGTCAATCACCTTAATCATATATGCCATTTCTATTTTTAGTAACACGTGCAACGCTTACTGAAATGCAGGATTTCTTACGTAATAAGGTTATTTGCGGTATTGCTCTTAAAAGGAAAGTAAGAATCCCCCTTGAATTATATAAAAATACTGAAAAAAGATCAACCTCATGATAGAGGACACTCTGCATGTTTTGACTTAAGTGTTCTTACATAGACTGTTGATAAAGATGGACGACATGACAGCTTCACCAAAGTAAAGCCAAATCATCTTGATAGTCCCACTGTCTGCAGTGTAGGTCCAACACCCCGCCTCCTCTATGTTAGCAGATGGGACATGGACCAACAAAAGACTCAAAGTACATATTTTTCTTCAGTTAGTTCCCATCACACTGCTGTATGAGCAAGTGATACTTTTCCTGTAAATTTGGTTCTATTTCCTTATTTGATGCAATTAAACTGGGCCGAAATATCATGATTGACATCTGCGTGTAAGGGTGGGACCTGGTTATTGCAGCGTCGCTCCGTAATCTGTGCAGACTCATTCAACAACAGGAGGAAGAGGAGACTCATCGAACTTCTGTTTATTTCTGTTTAATTAGAGTAATGAAACCCTCAGACTGCTTAATGTGTAGACACCTGACCACGCTTGCTCTTTGTTGAGATGTCCATAAAGATAATAAATACATATTCAGCTAATGCAGAGGCACTAGAGGTCATACCTTCATCAAGGCCAAACAATTCTACACAGGATTATCTAGTTCTTACAGTACAAAGCAAAAAAAGATTATTCCCTGAAAATGTAATTTTAAAGAAAGTAAATAGTCCACGTCAATATATAAAGAGTTCCTCCACCAGCTTTGGTTGAAATTGGTTTAGCAGTTTTTGAGTAATCCAGCTAACAAATAAACCAATAACTAACAAACAAACTATCGAATAGAAGCAAGTGAAAACTTCTTTTGTGCAGATAAAAAAAACTGTATTTGTTTCAGTCAAATTAAAAAAGTGCTTTCACTACAACAGAACCAAACCATGATCAGCAGTTAAGCTTCCACAGATACTACAATTCAAAGTATATGTACTGTGATGTTCAAAGGTTAAACTTCAACTCATAACTTTCTTTGTCTGATATTTGAATGTCAGTGTTTGTTTTCAGTATGTTTGCTTTCTGTGTGTGTCTGTGTGCATGCACCAACACAATTGTGTTTGTATTTGACTTATAACACGCCTCCCTCTGAGCCTCACACGTCGTTTTAATGTTGATGCTGTTGGCTGATTATCTCATGAGATACACACACAGGCTGGAGTTGGTTTTTGGCTCCTGCCCGGACACACACCCATCACCCCAACCCAAACAAATCCCTTGAAATCTGCAAGAGAAACAGACACTCGGGAGCAGCTGCAAAACAGGATGCCCTTGAGAACAGGACACTCCACCCAAAATGGCCTGAAAAAACATTCATGTCAGAGGGCGGAGGGCCGGAGCGGAGAGCAGGGGCTGTACAGCGAGGGATGACAAAAGGGAGTGTACATTAAAGCCAAGTTAAAGTTCAAGATGTCTGTGTATAATGGAGTGACAACAAAGGAGCCTGATGTAAAGATATATTATTATATATTTATTTCCCAAGGTGCCCAGCCACCTGTCTTAAGTGGAAAGAATGAAGTAAAAATGGCAAAACAATCGACTTTCACCAGCTCCTCAGACATGAATGCTTGCAGCTGGTTTCCCTGTCCTCTATCTATTGACAATGAAAATGATTGGCTGCAGCCCTATACTAATTCAACCAGTCACTACAGTCCTTCAGAAAAATGCCAAAAGCCATTGTCAGGATTTTACATAAACTACTGAGGTCATGAGATCAGATTTCGCTGGATAAAACCACACAGAACAAACTCCAACCAACTTCAGTAAGAGTTTCCTATTAAATCTGCTCAGCTTCTCAAATATATTTTCTGTTCCTATTTTGGGATATTTAGGATAAAACTGAATCAGAACCAACATGTATGTCCAATATTAATACAAATCTCCTCTGGATGTCGATTAACCCCCTGTATTCCCAGATGAAGCTATGGCCCTGGAAACAAAAGGTTGTGGTAAAAGAGACTGTTGGCCAAGATTTAATCAAATCTGGGTTAAAAAAATGAGACTATTTTATATATATATATCTATCTATAGATAGATATAGATAGATATATATAATAGATATGATAACAGATATATGTCGAAAGCTTTAAGCAGTGAGAGCCATCACATAAAAAATGCATTAATTCAAATGCATAAAGTCAGAGTAGGAAGTTGCTGAACCAATGGGGTTTTCACTACATATTTCCAGCCATGACGTCATGATATCACCATCATTGCGTAATGCCAGTCTGATCCTATAAATGTTATAATTGTGATAGGGATTAAGCATTGAGCAGGAAGTTTCAACAATGTTGTCGTTTGCTGCGGACACTGGAAAATGCATAATTTTGTCTCTGAGCTGTAAACAGCTATTTCAGCCATTGTCCCCACAGGTTGCAACTGTTTAATTGCTTTTGGAAGTTGTGGTAAGAAATGATTATTCAATTCAAGGGCTCTGTGCAGTGCTTCAGGGTGTGTGCTGCATTGATGCTCCAAAGTGCTCAAAAATCACAAGTTATGGCTTTTGGGGATAAAGGGGGAGTGGGGGGGCATTTCTCACAGTGTGGCTGTGAGAGAAGATGGCGCAAGACGCAGCAAAGGAGCCAGAGGAGTGCAGGAGGAGACAGTGGAAGCGTGGGTCGGCCCCTGAGACATGTACTGAGTGGATGTGGAATGACAGCACAAGCCCAATTAGTCTTGGATGCCAGGGCTGCTACAGGGAGGTCGGTGCAAGTGATCAAGCCATTCATGCATTCAAGCACTCGCCCGCAGGCAGTCTCCGCCGACAGCCTGGCTAAAGTTACTCTATCCGTGCCTCTGCTGGACTCCTGATCGCTCTCATGCTGCTACCTCTGCTCTCCCCTCTTCCTTCCTTCCTTCCTTCCCTCTCCCCCTTCCACTGAAATTGGTTGCCTCACCCACTCCCTTTCTTTCTTATTTCACGCTAATCCTCAGTTGCTCTCTCTTTTTCTCACATCTTCACATGCAATAGCACACTCTCTCTTAAGGACTTGAAATCCCGTCCATGCTTCCACTACAAAAGCACCACGCCCTCTACACCCTCCCACTTGTTTCCCATCCCCAGAGTGCGAGTATTACCTCATCCCACTCGGAGGCAAAGGAAGGCATGCGCTCCGTGGACGGCCGCCCTGAGCTGCAATTAGACACCGACCCACTGCGGCCAGCCAGACCTCCATCCTCTTCTCCGAGCGGTGATGCCAACAAGTCAGAGTCTGACTTGGACAAGCTTCGAATCAGCCCCAGGTCTGCAGGTCTGACTTTGACCGACGCAGCTGATGCAGGCTCACTTCTTGATTCCTTGATGTCAGCCTTTGGATTTTGGATCAACTTGGCAGGATTAGCATCCGGCGTGCATTGTGCCATAGTTTGGGAGCTGCCAAATGCAGCTTGGGGGTCTTCAGTATCCTGCAGCACACTGACTTGTTTAGTTAAGTCCAAAGATTGATTCAGGGTCTTTGTTGAGCTTTAAAACTTCTGCTGGAAGAAAGCCAATCAATGGTAGAGCTGAAAAACACAGAATAATAAAATATATATATAAGTTCTGTAGACTGGAGGAATTCGCCTGCAATCCTAATGACTCAAACTCATGCTCTTGTTTGCAGGGAGAGGAAGCATATACTAAGTGAGAGACTTGTTGTGCGGTCATCAAGGTCCACCCACTAGTCGTATCCTGTTGCCCTCCTCTTAGTGACTGGCGGCCCCACAGGGTCCCCCTCCTTTATCCTCTGGGCTGTGACTTTTCTCTTTTGACTCCACTACACTTACTTTTCTCTGCAGTTCAGCATGGAACTCCTGAATGAGAATATCCCCAGCTGAATTCTAAAATAAGACGGCAGGATTAAATGAAGTAAGAAGCACAGATCCATGAGCATCTACATAAGACGTACCGCTCAGAAACACGCGAGTACATGAAATCTGTAGTACTTTAAGATAAAGCCTTATTTCTGACTCAATCAAGTGAAATCAGCCTGACACAAAATCTCCCAGCAAAGCATCAAAAACTCATCACTGCCTCCTCTTACCTACAGACTTATTTAGTCTCCCTTTCCTGGCTCCGTGTACTTGTGTCCATCCTGTTCCGAGGTTGTTTCCAGACTCTTTGGGCGGGTCAGCTCTATTCCATAGTGAGGATCAGGGGACGGGAGGATCCCAAAGCCTGACCGTATTCAGACTGACAGCTGGGGTAATCAGGTTACTGAAGCACTGGGTGGCTGCTCCATTTTCAAGGCAGGAGAGACGGGATTCCTCCTTTTGCTGTCTGAGCGTGTGTTTGTGCAGGAGACTGGGGTTACTGAGTTAAGCCTCGTTTTGTTGTTGTAGGTTAGACATGGCGGCAATAGCACTTGGAGTGTTGGTTGAGACAGCATGGGGGATGGGGGGGGCATATAAACAGCCACACCTCTATCTTTCTATCCACTTTTTCTTTAGATCTGAATTTATTTTGACTCAACTTTATCAATGAACTGGAGCATTGCAGAAAAAGTAGTTGACGTCCCTCTGGATGCTTCATCCATTTTCCTTCTGAGAATCTTGTCCGAGCAGAAGATTCATCTCTAATAGACTTTCATGCAGATACTTTATCATCACAAATCCAGTCAAGGCTAAAGTGGCGACACGTCACGGTGGCGAAACATTGATTTTGATGCCAAAATCTTTCTCCACTTGTCTGTGATATATTTGAATGATATCATTTGCCAAACCACCAGTGCTATTAAGTGTTTCTACTGAGTTCTCTGACTTTGGTTGTATAAGAGATATATGAACTGTTGGGATCTGCAGAGGTTTAAGAAAAATGAAAATGGGAAATGTTGATGATATCGGAGGAAAGTAGAAAAGATCTCAAAAACTTGCTATTCATGACTCTTCTCAAAGGGATCGGATGCTGACAAAAGGATCTCTTGTGAGACATCCTTAGTATTCACAGGAAACTGTAGCCCTGCACGATGCGTCTCTGTGCCCTCAATCAGCCAAGCTCCCTGCATGCTCACCTCCTCCCTATGGGCAGCGCTCGTATGTGCATGACAGAAAAGATAACATCCTTCTGCTCGCCAAGGAGGGTTCACACAGGAACTGCTTAGCTGGCAATAACAAAAGCCACAACTAATGAAGCATGTACGATTGAACATCCAGTGATCGCTGAGACTGTGATGAGGATGAAACAGTTTAAAGATATCCACATCTTCTGTGCCATTTGAAACAACAGAGGCTGTGGATTTCAACGTGTTTCAAGATAATGATGTCTTCACGGCATATTAGAGCGACTAAAATAAAACATGCATCCCCTCCTTCAGCTGGCTGGCTGCTGAGCCTCAGGCGAAAGACAGTAGTGACTCATGAACACTCGTCTCTAACAAAGACATGCACACTGTGCAAGTCACAGGGAGGCTGCGCACACAGCGGTGCAGTGTTTTCATGCACAGTGTTTGTGCGTATTCACATCCATCCAATGTGTGTGTCTTTCTTTACACTGGCTGTACATGTGCCCAGGTCCACAATCGACATTTTTGATAACACTGCGCAACGTCTGACATCACTTTTATTAACAGCTCCAGCCAATTAATCATTATCCTTCTCTGCATTTTGGTGCCCTGCAGTTCCCACCTGATGAGCTGGCATTATGCAAGAATGACACCACTGGGTAAAGATCAAATAAAGTTAATCAACCAAGGGAAATTACCTTTAGATTTGGTTTTCTGGCTTCAACCTAATCTGAAAATTACCACAAAACTCTACAGACTGGAATGGCAGTCATATAGTTCATTCTCTTAGATCCCATTGCACTGTTAGGCTTGTTCTCCTTAGAGTGTGAGAGGAGATTCACCCCGACAAGAATGCTCTCATACTAACCTTTGGGGTCATCTGTTCCCCCGAGGCAGCAGCGATGCTATTCATCCAAGTATAATTTTCATATCCCTGAAATGTGGGAATTCTAAATGTCCATCAACGCACAAGTGGAGAAAATCCAAGTTATGTTTAGAACGTATATTTTTACGTTTAATTCAAAACAATTTCAATATCCAGGCAGTCAAAGTGAAGTTACTGTATCAGTTTGAAAGCTTTTGATCAAAGGTGTCTCACTGTCTCTCTTCAAATATTGCTTCATTCAGTAAGAAACTCGAGGAGAAAGTTGAGAGTTGAAATAAGTCACTTCAGCAGAGACAACAGCAGAACTGCCTGCTGTTAGCTAAGGGTGCCCAAAGATGTGACTCCTGTTAAAGCTCTCCAACAGACATGGACAGAGCCGACCTCTCTGCAGGGAAACGGGAGGGCAAGTGTGCATGGCTGAGTGAAGATGTAGCGCTGGATATCCATCAGCGTTAGAGAGGGGGAGAGAAAAAGTGACAGTGGAGGGTTGGTGGTTGGTAATCTCACTGGGAGTTTCACCAAATTAGCTCTTATCAAATATTTGCAATATATCTGTAGGTTATTGGATGACACTGTTCGCCACTCTGACATTATTTCTTCCTTCTGAAGTCAACAAGTCTGGTTTCTAGTGAAACGTCTTGCTAACCACTGCACAAGTATCTTGTCACGTGTTTATGTCCCCCTGAGGATGACTTGTAACTTTTGCAATCCTCTGTCTAGCACCATCATGGGGTGAAGCGTTTTTATTTTGATAATGGAAACTACCTGCACAACTAACGGCTGTCTCATCCGCCTCAGCTGAACTTAGGCTTCTTTCAGACATGCACTGAAGCCTAGTTGCTCCAGACATTTTCAGGAACATTACCTGTCAGTCAAATTCAACCAAATGTTAATGTATTTTATGTGTTTTTCCCCTTTTGTGTGTAACGGAGCTGATCATCAAGTATTTAGGTCTCTTCTCTTCTTCAGGTCAGTTGAGTTTGTTTTACTTTTGTTTCACAGCCTCAGTTTATTTCTGATACACATGGGCCCTAAACTCTGCTGCTTGATGTTTTAGTAAACTGAGTTTCTTCTTTTTTGAAAAAAAAGTCTTTATTTTCCGAATCCATTTTTATTTCCTCAAACATTTCGGCTCAGTCCACACTTGTCTAGTTGAAACCCCCCCATGAAGAGAATGAAAGAAATATTAATTGAAACAAAACGGGCATGGCAGCTTTGTTGAGAAATATCTTTATAATAAAAGACAGTTTTCTAAAACGAGGAAGCTTTAGCAGGCAGGCACTTCAACCTCTAACTGCAGGAGCAGTCACACATCAACTTCAATGTGAAGGTTTCTGGATAAACAGGCTGTGATCTGAATCTGAGGGCTTGAAAAATGCTGATAGTCTGTAGATGCCATCCAACAAGATGCTTTGTGTATTTGACACATATTAAAATTCAAAATAGAGAGCAGTGGGACATTCCAGTATTGTTGCTGTGAAATCTCGGTTATCGGAGGCGTTATTGCAGCACATATGCTACATCCTTCTCAAAAGAAAATCTTTTTTGTTTTTTTGGGTCTTGTGTGATAAGGGACCGCTCATTCTTTTCTATCTCGCTGTCGGCATCATGTACCACAACAACCGCTGCCGGCCACATAAGGATGAAGATGAATTCAACAGATAAATTTAGCATGGTGGAAAGATCAGAATCAAAAGTGCTCCGTGGAACTGAACTGTGGTTCTTTAGTTTTTTATGTAAGATGAGAAGTGATCCTCTGTGTGCATGCAGTTGTGTTTGTTTATACTATGTGCATGCAGGGGGAACTGTTTGTGTTGGAGCCGGAGCTTCCTGTGTTGGGTTAACGCTCTCTATGGTGCTTTCACTGAAAACAATGGCACAGCTCCATGTTTCTGATTTTCCCATTGTGTGGTGGACAGATTTATCACACTCCTTTTTTTTTTTAACTGCAGTTGGCCCAGAATGGCAAAAATTGAGTTTAATGAAATAACTACCAACCCACCACCACATGAAATGAAAGGTGCATGAAAGAGGGATACATTTAAATTCAGAGGGAGGAATAAGTGAGCTAAAGATGCAGAGGAGAGCAGGTAGAGCGAGGACGAGGAGGCTGGGTAATTAATCCACAGATAATGCTGATGGTTCACAGTCAGGTCACTTTCAGCGTAGCACCTCCATAATAGCTGCCCTTGACAAGCTCCATATCCAGAGAGTCCTGGAGATCTCTGTTTTAATGATGGCAATGATATTGGCAGCCATGAATCAATCAGACATGCTCAATATATTCAGCCGAGAGTCAGGAACTTTACTCCCCGGAGGTGACGGCGACAGACAATCCTCTTTCATAATGTGATGGTTCACACAGCACCTCTGAAGGAAAACTGTTACAGGAGAATCGAGGGTTGCACAGACTCCAGGTATAAAATACGTCATGTAACTCTCCCTATTGAAAAAAACCCTGCCCGCCGTCCTTTATGTGCCAACGTTTACTGCTGAGGCTAAATCTGCCTTCATCTTTAAACACGTAGCTAAAGGCTTTTAGCCTTTTTTTACTTTCAGACCAAAATTTGAGAGACTATAAGAATCTTTTCCCTCTTTAAAAATAGCCTCTGCCCCTGACTCTATATCGAGCACATTTTTAGAAGCAATTTGACTTGTTGCTGGAGTAAAAGGAACGACGGCACTCTGGTGTTCTGTCTGAGGTTTAACAGACATCAGATTTAAAGGTACAGTGTGTAGAATTTTGTGATATCTAGTGTTGCAGCTGAACACCCCTCACCTCACCCTCTCCTTCCAAACATGAAAAAGAACCTGTGGTAGCTTCAGTTGTCATAAAAACTCAAAAGGTGTTTAGTTTGTCCAGTCTGGACTAATGTAAAAAACATGGTGGCCTCCATAGAAAGGACACCCCAATGTAAATATAAAGTATTTAAACGTAAAGGGCCTTTTCTGGGGTAAAGAAAACTACAATTCATACAATTTAGATGAAACGAACTAGTGAAAACTTCATGAGGATTATTCTACATTAAATTTCTGCCAATAGATCCCTTTCACCTAAATCTTACACACTGGACCTTTAAAGGGTGACATCATGGGAGGATTACGCTAAAACTACTGATCAGATCTCCACAAAACTTTATGGATTTTTTTCTCCGCCTAATCCGGCTTCCTCCTCAATCCAAAAACATCCAGATTGGGGTTTTGTTAATCTGAGACTCTAAATTGACCGTAGGTG